TGTCTTGCCTATGTTAATGATAGGTTGTCATTCTGTTACATGAGATTAAGTCTTACCTGGCTGCATCTTTTGCTAGTATGACTCAAACATGTAAATGTCTTTCTGTTTCCATTAAAATCTGGTGTCATTACTTTGAAAATCACCGAGATTATTTTCCTGGCAGATGGAAGGCCACTGGGTATTTACTAAACTACAAGAGACATTATTAATACTTTCCCCAAACTAATTAAGATGGTACCAGGTGACAAATGACTTTTTAGGAAGACCCAAGGCTGTGAACCAAGCACACAATTAATTTGAGTCACCTTCTTTCCAAACACTATGGATTTTGGTGCAAGGACATAGCCAAGAGGTTTTGGAAGATCTATTTTCTAACTGGTTTATGAAAATGAACTAATCATTTCATATGTCATATATTTGTGATATTTATATTTGAAATGGGAGTTATTCAGAAGAGGCTTGTTTCGACCTTATTACAATCAAACTCAATATAACTAAAAAAGTTGTCATAGTACCAAGAGCAGTAATTCTAGTTACTAGAATCTCAGCATAAACAGGGTATGCTAAACCCTCGCAAATTCTAGCTTTAAATAATGTCTCAGATGCACAATGTTTTGATTTCTGTTTCATATCAATAATGGTTAATAATTGTCTTCATCATGTAGGCAAAAAATGAGGGTGGTGTGATTTAAAATCTAACCACTAGCCAGTATTAGAATTACAGACAAATGATTTGACATATAATTACCAGTGTTTTATACTCCTTTACAATATTATACATCAGATAATATCCCTAGATTTTCTATGCTCTTTTTTATATTTACTTGTGTATCAGCCAAGGACAGTGCCTGTAACTTCAAAAAAGTGATATATTTAAGGTACTGTGCTATTTATTCTTTAACTTTAAAACATCTTTTAATTTAGTTTGCTGGTGTCATTCTTTATCTACTCCCTTTAGGTTTCAGCTGTAATTTCAGAGATTATTTATGATGATGCTATCCCCAAATTATTTATTTGTGTGCAACATTTATCTTGAAAATAAACAAGTGATGTAACATTTTTCTTTCTTCTCAAGTTGTTCAATTCCTCCAACCTCACCTTCAACACAGGTTTGTATTCAAAGCACATCATCTTGTTTCCCACAATCTACCTGAATGCTCTTCAAGATAAAACTCATACCTTTTAGAGAATCTCCAAGAAATGACTGTTGAACCCTTACAGTAACTGAAGAGGCTGAAGGCTTCTTTTCTGCATTGTATTAGTAGTAATTATTCAGTGTCTCTGCCTAGATAATTCCAGAGATCAGACTACCGAACTACAGCTCCCATGTTGCCAATGGTATGCAAAGAATATTGTATTTTAAAATAAAAACTTGGCATGCATTTTTCAGAAGCTAATTTGGAAAGCATGGATATCACTTCCAGATAATCTAATATATACTGTAGTTACATGGTAATAGATTGAATATCTTTCCACTCTGGCTGAAAGACCTAGGTTTTATTTTAGATTTCTAAGACTAAGCTAAATACATATGTAAATTAAATGAGAATACTGAAAGGTAATCTCCAAGATAATGAAAAAGAGAATACTATGATTTTATTTAAGAAATGAGTGCACAAAGAATGTGTGCACTCATATATAAGAAAGACTATTTTATAACTGCCAGGAGGAGATCAGCAGGATCAAAGGATAAAGATTTCGAAAATCTCATCTACATTCCCTACCATTACAAAGGAGTAAAAGCCAACAATTAACCATGTTAATCAAGACAGCATTTCAGTGTTACAGCAAATAATTGCTGAATTAAGTATAGCTTTATATTTTGTCGTATACTGTAATGATTTATACTCTTTAAAAGTCGTAGAGGCTGGTATAATTAATAATTTAATTTAAGGAGAGTATTAAAAGGCCCATACCTCAGTAAGCTTTGAAACTGTTAATTGGGATAATAGGAAATTACTTGTCTTTTCCCAAATGTCAGTGAAGTAGGTCAGGATAATTAATATGCATGCTGACTTTTCAGTCAAAGGAAAACAAGACATGTCTCATCTGTGTACTTTTAGTACCATCTATTTCAGACTAAAATGAGTTCAGCCAGAGAAAATTGTCACAGTATGACTCAGTTAAGTAACTGAATTTCAAAATAAGACAAGAGGTAGTTCAACCATGAGAATACAGATTGCAGTCTAAATTTGCCCTTTGTAGACTAAGGCTAAATTTTATAACTGCGAGGAAATAAAAAAACTCTTCAGGTATGGGTTTAGGTACATTTTGCTCTTTGAAGTTCATTGCAAACATGTGTCACTTAATGTATAACATTATATGGATTGAGACAAAATAAATTACATAAAAGGAGGTTGGTTAATGATACTTTTTTATAAAACAGTTTATATTTTCATGTTTCCTATTACCTGTTTTGCTCACTTGTCTAAATACTTTTTATTTTAGATGTTTAGGGAAAATGAAAAAAAATGTTCTGACACAGAGATATAATGCTCAGTTCTCCTGCATCTATGCACAAGGTTAGTACACATTCTTTTTAGTAGATCAAACTGAATGCTGGCCTCAAGCAGGATAGAAATATGCTACTGAGAGACTTTGAGTTTTGCAACTTTGTATTGTTGTCAATCTCTGTGGCTACATAAATGAGTGCTCTGTGTTAGAGGATGTGCATATAAGTGTGATGCTGACATTATGACCATGGAATCTTGTTCTGTGTATAATTTGTTGTCTGAATAAGCAGCCTTTGCAGTTATTTCTAAGGATCAATCCACACAAGGCATGATTATGACATTCTTTAACTAGATCCTAAATAGTATTTTGAAAATACTGATTTTTAAAATGAATATTTTCCAAATGAAACATTCATCATGTTGTACAAATCTAAATATTTAGAAGAAAAATCCCTCACCATTAGAAAGGTGTATATATTGCACTGAATGAGAAAAAAATTTCTAGGCAAAATGGAATGCAGTGTTCCATACAGAACAGTTTGAAGTACACAGAAAAAAATCAAATGGGAAGATTTATAGAGTACCCCAAAAGTAATAGATGGGGGTCTCAAAGATAGTCTATAAACATTTAGTGAAACAAATTTTACTGAAAATGCAGGGACTTCCCCACATTATTGAACTGTAACAAAAAATGTATAATGCTAAATGTATTGACAAACTCACTATAGCTGCTCTACCTTGGCATGCTTACTCTATTAAGAGGTCACGGAAAAGATGGACAGCATCAAATAATTAAAAAAAAATCGTATAAACACAGGGGTACATTCGAATGTCCAAAAATAAATCCTATACCCAGAGTAAAAAAAAAGAGGATTCTTGAAGTAAAACATCAAAAGCCATCTAACTAGAGACATTTTGCAGGCTTTTAGAAACCTGAAGAAAGGGCAGGCTTGGTGCCATGAGCTAGACATGACTGTGTCTTCCGACTTCTTCTCAACATGATGACTACGACAAACTCAAGAAATTACTAAAAAAAGTTAGCATTGATGACTCTGCCTATAGAATTGATAGAAAGTTTTCTGAACAGAATTTTCTATTCCAGAATTTAATACTGTTTAATTGGCTGAGATGGAGTATTTTCCTTCCCCAGGGTTTATACAATGATAAACAAAACCCCCATATTTATGGATAGCTGTTATAAAGTGCCTGGATGAGATTTATAACAAATTTTCTAATCAATACTTAAAATTTAGAAAACCCTTTGTTAATTATGATAATCATTAAAATATTAAGTATTCATTAGGATTGGTAGAAGTCCTATAAGAGATTCTTTTATCTTGTTGGTGGAAGATAGAGACTCCCCATCAAGTCACATGAGCATACGAGGCTCTCATTGTAAAGGAACCCAGTTTCCCACTGAAATGAGATTCCTGACCTGTTAGGAATCTGTAAGCTAGGAGTTGCTTTTTTCCCATTAGTAATGAAGAACTTATGCTAATGTATCCTATAATCAAAGTCCCACATACTTGACTAATGGGGTGAATGTTCTACTTTATTTGTATCTTCAAAAGGGGGAGCTGATCCCTCAAAGAAACCAAGCAAATAACTTGTTTAATCATCATTGGTTCCAGTCCTCTGCACCAATTGACTTACACTGTATTTAAATGAAGAGTTTAATGCTATTCACCTACATTCTCTTCAGTTTCCTTTGTGGACTTATAGCCAGACCTTTGATTTTAAATGACTGAGTTCTAGCCTTTCCATTAAATAAGGCAGGGTTTCTGGACCAATGTATCATGGTAGTTCTAAATAGAAGCTTGGTATGGTTATAACAAACTTGATAGCGAGTAAATAGACTCAGATTTTTTTTTTGAGACAGGGTCTCATGAAGCATGCATTAGCTCTGAGCTTGCTATGTATCTGATGATGACCTCAATTTCCTGAACCTCCTGTCTCTATATCCCAAGTATATACGTATGTGTCACTATGCCTGACTGAGAACAAATTTTTAAGGTAAAATGCCTCAGAGAGTTACCAGAAGGTTACTGAATTATCTTTTCTTTAGAGATGATACCCATTATAATAGAGTTTTGTAATCAATGAACATACCAATAAAATAAATGGATGCTTCTGGCAAATTGGTTTCTAGAAAAAGCTGAGCAATTTTGGATGTCAAATGCTGTATGAAACTTCGTGTGTGTGTGTGTGTGTGTGTGTTCAGTTATTCAGCCAGGGTTTTGTTAACACCCTACTTGAAACATTTATTATTTTGTAACCCAAACCTAGGGGCCAGTCACTATGGACTGGCAAGATGATGCACGGAAGTGAGAAGAAAGTAGGGAAGAGAAGAAAGTAAAGAAATGAAAACTATTAACCTTCAAAAGCAAATGGGGAGTTGGGAGAAAAAGCAGTTGTTCTAGTGTTGTATGTCCTGGTTCATAAATTAGGGAGACCTAACTTCCTATCCAGCATGACAACAACCTTCAAATAAGAAGTTGAAAGGTTATAACTGTGTATACAGGTAAGAATTTCCACAAACATACTTACTTTTCTCGCCTATGTTTTCTCCTGCTGCCTCCCCTTCCTCTTCCTCCTCTTCCTCCACCTCTGGTGGCTGTATGTCATCTTGTGGGTCACAGGCACTAACTGGTGCATTCAGACAGCAGTGGTTGAACCCGCTGTCTCGAGGCAGAGTAAAACTTCGGGGCTTGCACCCATTGCCATTCAACACTTGCAGCCTCTCACTCTCAGCTAAAGGGTATGGGCCATAATGATCCTGGAGGTGGCACTTCTGAGTCGGAAGAGTAGACTGCCGCCTGTGCTCAGGGGAGATGGCTGCCGAGTCAGAGAAGACAGAATCTTCCAGAGGCAGAGTCTGAAGATAGTGTAAGCCTGAACTTGTTAGCGGTGTCTCGATTAAATCCTGCCAGGAGCGGCGCTGACTGGCTGTCTTGTGGATGGGGGACACGGCACTGCTCCCAGTAACTTCCTGGCGAAATTCCTCATGTGAAGACTGAGACTGAGAGGTCTCGGTGGAGGAAAGCCGGCTGTGTTTTGCTTCCACATAAGGACTGGCACAACTCATCTGTGGAAAGAAGCCCTTTATCAATTTCCATGGAAATAACAGACCACTTCGATTGTCAAAGAACTTGTTTTCTGTTTATCACAGATTATTTACACGGATGCAGTCTTACACAGTAAAGTAACAACTGAGCAAGTTTACAGACTTCTCAAAGTTTAGGCCTCAGCTTACACTTTAATAGTTAGGGATTCAGATGTCTTGAGATACAGATGTAACATCTGATACAATAGTACAAATCTGATAATACTGGCAGTATGAGAGATTGTAAATGTTCATGTAAGAAACTAAACAATTTAAAAATCTCTACATACTTTGAAATTCTAAAGAAAAAACGCTCATAGATTCTATTTCTGGATTTTAGGCAGCTTAGGGGGTGAGAGAAAGAGACCTTTACATATGACAACAAGTTGTTTATAAACAAAGCAAACCTTTCTGCTTCTTCATAAGTAAATGTCTGTTTCTATGGGTACCACAGAAAAACTGTCATATTGTGTTGTCAATTCTATGGTAATTTCTGGAGAACTGAAAATACAGGTAGGATGAAATTATAGTTTGTTGGGGATTAGCATTTTCTGTGAGTATAAACACTATAGAGTACATAGAAAGGAATGTATTTTGTGCATGAATTTAAAGTTTGGAAATATACATTATAGTATAAAAGACAAACAAGAAGGGAGAATAGCATCAGTAAAATGCTATAACACATTTTCAGTGCAGCACTCTACCTGGGACAAGCCTTACTTCAGCTCTAGAGTCTAGCCCAGGTGCCTTTATGCAAGGAGCTACATTTGTTAGTCACAAATGGGGTTGAAGTGGTAGCCCAGACAAACTGAGCTGAGATGAATATATCACCCTTTGTGGAAAAGGGAAAGAAATTACTTAGCATCATCCATGGGTAGATTGTTACCTTTCAACATATTATGTAGTATGTTGAACAACTTAACAATAAAGTGAAAAGTTTCTTTCCAAGTTGCTACTGTTGTTCAAAGGAAAAAAAAGATGCATTTAGCAGAAGAATAGCAGAACAAGAGGACAGAGGGAATAATGGGGATTGGAAGATTTAAGTAGGGATTGGAGGCAGGAGGGTTGGTGAGTAGGGGACAGAGGTAGAGTTAAGCAAAACTAAGGATATTTTTAAAAAGCCATATGCAAACCTACTTCTTGGTAAGATAATTAAAAGAATGATTTCAAAAAAGTGAAGCTGTAGTTCCCCTTTCATCTTTTATAATTTCAAAGGAATCATTCAGATTCTGTGTTTTTAAGAAAAGGGAAAATATTAATTACTTGGAATAATGCAAAGAGGTTAAATTAAGTTGACTGGTGTAGTCACATAAACTAGCTTCCTTTTCCTTTGTGGAAGACAAAGCCCCAAGATACAGAGAATTGATTATTTTGGTAACATGACCATTAAATTAAATACAGACACTGACATACTCTCAGTATTTTTGACGGGAAACAGGTATAAATTGACAGTCTTAAGAAAAGTAAGGTTATTATTTATCTCAGTAAAAGACTGAAGTATAGTGTATACATAGAGTTATTTATAGATTTAAGAAAATTCTGTAAGAATTCTGGAGCACCATAAACATATTAAAACAGATACCATGGCTACATCAAAACACTCACACACACAAACACACACATACACACACACGTTTTTGTAGTGCTGGGGTATCAAACCTAGGGATATGTGCATCTGTGCTGGTTAATATTTTTTTTAACAAACTTAACACAGGCTAGAGTCATCCAGGAAGAAAGAATGCCAATTGATAAAATATCCCCACTGAACTGTTATGTAGTCAAGTTTGTGTGGTATTTTCTTGATTAATGATTGATGTGGGAGGGCCCAGGCCACTGTGGGTGGTGTAACTCGTGGGCCGGTGGTTCTGGATTATATAAGAAAGCACACTGAGCAAGCCAGTAAATAAGAGTTCCACCAGGGCTTCTGCTTGAGTTCCTACTTCTAGGTTCCTGCCGTGTTTATGCTTGTGTCTTGGCTTCCCTCAATGATGGATTATGATCAGGACTTGTAAACCAAATAAACTTCCCAAGTTGCTTTGGGTTATGATATTTTCTTACAGCAATAGTAAGCTAACTAAGATAGTATATGATATCTATTACTGAGCAATACCTCTAGCACTACAGTTCTAATATTTATCAGTTGTTTCTAAAAGACATAAAATTGATTTCATTAGTATAGAATAAATAAGATCATATCTTTTCCTAAGGAAAGTTTTCTGTTGTTTTAACTCCTTTAAACCTGGCCAATTCATTCTGCCAACATCCTGTGATGATTATTTCCCTTGATTAAATATTCCTTGTAAACTTAAACATTTTCCTTCTGATTTTAGGTCACCAATTTTCTTCTCCCTATGAAACCTCAGTTTGACTTAGACTTTAATGTACGTTCATTTTGACATATAAATGGAGTTCTAAGTTCAAAGCGGAAGCACATTGGGGTTGCACTTACAGAGGGAGGCCGTGGGTATGTATCATAGGGGGGTGGAGGGCTGTCTTGTTTCGGTGTTGATGGAGTATCTGCTTCCTCTTTGTCACTCTCACTCCAGTAATCTGAAAGTTCACAGACACAGACATCTCGGTGTTTATTCAGTATTGACAGCAATATTTCTCAAGAAAAGATACTATCACTTAACAAAAAAGATTTAAATTGAATTACTACAGCATGTTCATCATCATTGTCCTACTCAAGAGTCATCAAGTTTCATTTTTAGCTGTTCTGGAGGAGAAGGAAGAACACAATAACCTAATCCCAACCTCATGAAAAATTAATGGCACACAGCCAGTCCTAATGGAACTAAGAAGAAGTTTGTTTTTTTCTATAAGCCAAAACAGGTGTAGAGTATGTTTAATTTTAGACCATTTTCAGAAGTTTTAATTAATAAATACAACAGGATGTTTCTTAAAGTATGTCACTTTACTGTGATAAATACTTAGAGAATAAAAGCAATAAACCATATGCTGCTGTATATCTCTACTGATATAAACATCCCTGAAATTAATGTTCTAAATATTTTTGGCTTCAATTCACGGTTCTCTAACAATTGCTGTTTTCTAAAGTCACAGTGACACGAATCTTTATAACACCATACTCCCACCTCTCCTTGGAAAGACGTTGTAACCCCTAAATCTTGCCAAATGAAAAAAAAATACACACTTGCTGATGTGTGCTACAAGCACCAAATTTCCAGAACTACTTAAAAGGAATTCTAAGCTTCTACACAAAGTTACTTGGCAGAACTGAGGCAAGAGGGAAGATGAAGAACTCTGAGAGATATTTTAATATTGTAAGCCAAATCCAACAAAAGGGCAACAATCAGAATCAAGTGGACTATATCTTAGCCATAACTGCTGTGTTGACTCTTTATGTGAGTTGCAAGCAAAGAGCCAGGATGATCACCCGAGAGAACAGGCATTAAGAGAGAAGGAAATTGGTATGAAAATTTACATGCTAAAACAACTATGACAAGACATAAGTAGTATTCAGATTCAAGTGAAAAATCCCAACACATATTTTTGTAGGGCCCTTCCCTTTCTAGAAATTCTCAATTGTAATGTTTCTTCTGTGCTGCTGACTAAAAATAAGTACAACTAACATTTTTTTTTTCTTCAGAAATTGTTACATTCCTGGTAGGAAATAATGGAGCTTGATTTGAACTAAAAAAATTGCCTTGACCCAAACCTCTGAGTACTAAATTCTAGGACTCTTGCTTAACACATCAAGAAAGTTTAATGTTAAGTATAGCGATTTGATTGCATCTCCCTTTTCCACTCCTAAGGTTTTACTCCTGTTACTGTGAATAGAAAGTCTCCAGCAATAGATACAGGACATAAAATAAACTGCCTCTTCTAGTCAAGCCTTAAAACACAAGGGACCCTGACAACTCCCACTGGGAAAACAAATACAAAGTATCTAACTAATCTCAATTAGATACCTGTTTTTTGTTTTTGGGAAACTGGTCATGGGTGCATACAACTGTAACTCCAGTGCTCAGGAGGCTACCCAGGATTTGAAGTGTGAGACCAGCTTGGGATGGCTAAACCCTGTCTCAAAAAGCCCAATGGAAAGTAATGGAGATACTGGACAGTGACCACCAATATAACTAAGTCCTCCGTCAAAGATGAATTGACATAGTTACTCAGAAACAGATCCAGTAAATGATTGTGGAGAAAGCATGACTGATATTCAGAAGTAGATAAAGGTTCAATTCTTCATAATACAACTACTTAATACATTGACACTTTTAAAGGCATTATTTAACTTCATTGTTGGGCCTATTTAACAATCTGTAAAAGAACAAGTAATAATAACTGACTTTTGTAGTTGTGTATGTGGGAGTTCTAAATAAAGTAACATATATTCAAGTGCTTTGTACCTTGAATACACTCAAGAGATATTAGGAGCATTTATCTTCTTTGGGATATTTGCAGATTTTATGCCAGGACAGTCTGACACAAATCAGAAAGGCAGCAAATGCCTGATGCTTATTTTCACAGATAATCTTTTTTTCTTTGTAGCATTTTTGAGCAATGAAGAATGAAATCTGGAGTCCTAGGGTCTGGGCAGTTTTATGAGAGCCTGAAATCTTCGAAGTTAATGCTAGCATTCACCTCTCCCTACCCTACACAAAGTAGTTAGATTGCTAAGACCACTCTACCCTTATCCTTCCCACTGTTTCCAATAATGCTGGCTGAGTTTATCCTTAATGTTGGCATTGAAACCATGGCATTTTGGTGCAATAATACCTCAAGTGGTTCTTATTAGCACCCTGGAAAAGAGATGATTAGCATTTTATCCAGGGCTCCATAGCTGTTACCATACATAAGAGATCTGAAGTGTTTATTTTTCCTCCTCAGCTAAATTAGGAAAAATTCTAATCTGTATTTGATATTTTTTTTGGCTTATTAAAAAGCAATATCAATCTAAACATTTTCTAGGTTTCTTAAGAAAAAGCAGAAATATTACTTTACAAATCAACTTCTTATTCTAAGCTGTAAGGGAGAGAAGAATACCAGAAAAGAGGCAACACTGAAAATTTACTTAGGCTCTTTTGGAACATGTGAAATATTATACACATGATAGCTTAGTGGCTGAAATCAGTCTTATTTCTTTCTAAGAGCAAATAGAACTTTTAGCTCTCTAAAAGAATATAAATATATATTTTGATGTGTCTTGCAAAATACCAAATTTTATAAGTAATTATGAATAAAAATGCCTATCAGAAGAGGGACATATTTTTAAAACTTGTTCTTATTTAGAACTATCAAAGAAATATAATATAGGTCATTCACTTTTATGTGATTAAAACTTTACAATGACATCAAGGAATTATTTTTATGGTTAAACATTAAAATTTCATTTTTCTAGATTTCTTAAGTATATACTGTGTTATCATTATCTATATCCACCGTACTATACAATAATATACCAGAACTTCTACTTTCATTCTTAGCTATGTATACCAGTACTTGTTCATTACTTTGCCCACTCCCTGCTTAGTTCTTCACATCCTGTGGGTACCACTATTCTCTTTTCAACTTCAAAGGGCTACATTGTGTTTGGAACTTAATTTAGCATTTAGAATTACTCAGGAGATATCAAATAACCATAGAAGAGTGGAAGTGATATGCATACTTATCAGTTTCCTAAGCAGAAGACCAAGGGACTTAACCATATATTAAGTGGGAAGTCTGTTTCTGATGTATGTTAAAGTGCCTTTTCACTCTGTGGAAAAGCAAGTATCGTAGTCTGCCTATGGTTTTTCTACCAAACTTTAGTAGGCATTAAATATATATACTTACACAATAGAGCAAGGCAGCATGCATCTACAAAATAAATACTCTCTGGAACTTGCACATGCAATATAAATTAACCTGTCCTTTCATCCACAATGAAACTTAGTTTCACAACAAAGGAAATTCATTATAATCAAGATTATGCTCAACTTGAAAGCAACATCAAGTAATACAATTCTGAAGCTTGAAAATAAAAGTTCTGTGATACATAGCTTGATATTTTTTCTAGATTAATTTTCCCATCTATATATTACCCATATATCCAACTCTCATAATTTTAAACTATCAGGTAAAAATACCTTTAAAGAGCTACTTCACCCCTTTTCAAGAAATCTGAAAAGTAAGGCTGGTATTTTTTTTAGTGCTCTTACCTCAAATTAAGGTTTATAAATTACACTGAGGCATAAAGGTGAGGAAGTTTAAGCCATCAGACACATTTGCTGCATTATAGTGTTAGACAAGGTTTGCCCATGCATACAGATTTGATGAAGACAGCCTCTACATTATTTGTAGAATTGTGCAATCTGCTTCCTTCCATTCTGTGGAATATATTTTTTGCCTTCAGTCCACACCATTTCCATCTTACAAAAATTAGTTCAGAAAACAGAGCCAACCAAAGTCTTTCCCATACTCCCTTCCTGGAAGGACTCTGTTACCCTTGTTTCCTGGAACTTGATTTGTTTCTTACTATGTTTCATTTTCTATATTACACCAAGCTTACCTTTTTGAACAGAACCCAGTATAATTGTAGGATAGGTGCTTACATTTTCATACAAGCGTGACATTGAGGATCTTTTGCGAAATATTTTAATATTTAATAAAATATTGTATCTTTCTCTCAATTATCAATGCTATATCAAGAGTCACTGATGATTTTCTTCAAAAAAGTCCTCATTAGCCCTGTCTTTTTATGTAAGAAAAAGTGTATTATGATTATAAGATAAAAGGTATTCCTTTACCTTGTTCTTGCTTAATCCTCTCTCTCTCTGCATATCCTGCAGTCAGCATGTTAATTCTATTAAGCCACCTGGAAAAAGAAAGAAAGAAATCAATGATAATTCATTATACTGGTTAGAAATATTTATTGCAAAATGTCTAAAAAGATATAGGATAACCACACATATAAAATGTGTTCTTCATTAAACTTGAAAAAAAAATGAAGACTTCAATAGGCAATAATCTACCATAGTACAAATTGTTACCACACTGAAGATGTAATTCCAATGGAACAGTTATGTAAAGCTGTTAATGTGTACAATATAAAAGGTTTTGAGATGACTGAAGCCATATCAATTCTTTTCCATCAAATGTATGAATACTCCAAATATGCCTGCTCTTTGTTTGTTTGTTTATTTTTGAGAACAAATGCTCCCTTGGCAACACTTTTAACATCCAGTCTAATTTATAGAGACAGGAGAAAAAGTTACAGAACTTGCTTGTAAAAATAATAGTTTTGAATACACTCATTTAAGTTGAATGACCCAAGAGGAAACACATCTCAGAAGTACTTTAGAATCTTGTCTCTAAATACAAGAGTACTTAACTCCTCATCAATAGAAAGTACATATATAATTTTAAACTATTATGATCTAGAAAGCATACTTTCATGAACAACAGTAGGTTAATCTGTCTTAGTTTTTTAAGTATTACTGCTATTGTTAGTGCAGCAAAACATGATCTCAGTTTCTTCATTTAATTCTACCAGGAATCTTCCTGTATGCATCATTTCAACCACTAGATTATCAAATCACAATTTCTTTGTAAACAAACTGAAAATTTCTCATCTGGAAATTCTGAACAATGGCCCATATGTTTTTCCAAAACTGAAATCGGGTTGAATTCACCTTCAAAACTACCTTAAGCAATTTTGGAATTACTGTTAGAGTTAACATCATTAAATTGTGGAACAGTCTGATCTTGATGTATTTTAAAGAAAACCTGGGTTTGAGAATTTCTTTCTCCTAAGATCCTGTATCTTTTTCGACTAGAACATAAATCTGTCTAACTGAACCACATATTTCACAATTTTTCCAAGTGGTGTTGTTTATATCATATACCTAGCATATCTTGAAGAGAGGCAAGTTGTATCTCTCATGGGCATCTATTGAAATTTAAACTTCAGGTTAACAAAACATATCATGTAAATATCAGCTTAAAGAATATAAGGGAAGTGAAGAAAGGATTGGAGTCCTATCAATATACAATAAAATATCCACAGGAATTCAATAACATTTTATATACATACACTAGTAAATTCTAAACTATAAATCAAGAAGTCAACCTCGTAATGAAATCTTTTAAAATGACTATTAACAAAAGATCAAAATGAAATTTAATATCTAGTTCAATTTTTAGTAATAAAGGGGTTGAATTTATTTTTGGTTGTGAGCCTAGCCTTTAACGGTTGAGCCCAAGGGGTTGAACTTAAATTACAGGGTAAATCCAACTACTCTTGGGAAAGTGTAGCCTGATGCTGTTAGGCTGACAAGGATGACAGTTACACTAAGGGAAGTTAATCATTGACATTTTATCTACTATTATGTTTTTACTTCTTGAAAAACATTAATATTTTAATCAGAATTCTAAAGAAAATGAAAGTTCTTTGAAGGTGCATTGAGAAATTTAAGAGAGGCTTCTTCAGTTTTCAATTCATCATTTATTAAATACCTTTTTGTGTTTAAACAATAAACTATGTTTTAGAAACATATAAATGTATAAGGCATAGTCCTTGCTTTCATTGAACTCTAGATTGCTAAAACTCCTAAGACAACTGAAAATTTAAGCTACTATAAGGAAAAAATTCTGCTCAAAATAAAACCTCTTTGGAACATGTATGGATGTAGTGGGTAGCCATTCCAGCTTGGATCTGGAAGTTCCAACCCCCACTGAGACTCTGGCAACTGTCACACCTACGAGGCGGGGCCAGGGGAGGCACCTGGAGACCTGAGATCTGGATGGGCCAGCGCTCTCTCTGTGTGCTCTCTCTGTGCCAGGACCCTGAACGGTGGAGATGGACCGAGCAGAGCTCCAGAGAACACCGCTGGACTGCGATACACCTTCCCCAGACCCTGCGACCTACCTATCCCTTAATTTGTAAGTTACCCACTAAATAATCTTCCTTTTAACTATGTGGAGTGGCCTTAATAATTTTGCCAATATCTGGCGCCCAATGTGGGGCACGAACCCTCGACCCTGAGATTAAGAGTCTCATACTCTACCAACTATTGAAGACTAGCAGTTATAATTACAACTTAGTATATATAATATCTTAGATAAAACATATTAAGTATTAGATTCAGGTTCTTTAGGATAGGACACCTTTGAATGATCTTTATAACATGCCATTTACCTATGCTCTATACTTCTCTGGATTTTAGTATGTGTTTCTTGCTTGATATTTGCATTGGTTGTAGTTCCATCTTATCTAGGTCATTATCCCTCATCATTCCTGGACAATATTTGATAACCATTCCTTTGTATATAGTCTTGTATTAGTTTAGAACCTTCTTATTTAGACAAAAAGGGGTGATATAGTGGGAAGCAATTCCAGCTTGGATCTGGAAGTTCCAACCCCCATTGAGACTCTGGCAACTGTCATGCCTACGAGGTGGGGCCAGGGGAGGCACCTGGAGACCTGAGATCTGAATGGGCCAGCGCTCTCAGTGCCGGAACCCTGAACGGTGGAGGTGGACTGAGCCGAGCTCCAGAGAACACCGCTGGATTGTGATACACCTTCCCCAGACCCTGCAACCTACCTATCCCTTAATTTGTAAGTTACCCACTAAATAAATCTTCCTTTTAACTATGTGGAGTGGCCTTAATAATTTCGCCAATATATGGATATTCTCAGGCTGCTGTTTATAGCCTAAAAAGACTTAACTATACAGCTGATGCTGTCTCTTGGATATATTTGTTCTTAAGCGACAGCTGGAAGAACCTCACTTACAGATATACTTGGTATAATTATGACTTCCTATCATAGGTTGCTATGAAAGCAGATATACATAAGATAACTGATTCCAGAACCATTTATTGAGAGCCTGTATGTGCTAGGGATGGTTCTAGGCACCTAGAATACAGAGTATACAAAACAAAGCACCCATCTTCATGATGCCTGTATTTTAACAATATAGGCAGATGAGAAATCGGGATTTAAGTAAGCATCTATGAAATTACCAAGGTAGCACTTGCCATCTTTTAAAGCAGCAAGGTAGGTAAAATTTAGAATGTTAAAGTTGCTTGGGAGTAGGGAATCTATATTAGGTAAGGAGGTCAGGGATACATGTATTAAACTTGGAATCTTTTCAAGAACACTGATGTGGAAGTTCTTTAATATTAGTACCCCATCATATTTTAACACTTTAGAACATGAATATATAGGTAAGGGAATATGCTTAGAGTAACACAGACTAATACACTGAGAGAGAAATAACTTATAGTTACAAGGATACACACACACACACACACACACACACACACACACTTAGAAAAGTACACATATCTGTGTATACAGATCTTATGGAAAAACTAAATTTAAGGAATATTTTTATACCCTAATAACTAGGTCCTATTACTACTGGTATTACATATTTTTTAAAATCTAGAGTACAAATATATATTATTCTATACTATACTATGATATAATTTAATACAAAACAATAATGCCTTTAAAACCATAAAATAATCAGATAAAACATGCATTGACTATAATTATGCTTATTTAAAAATACATCCTCTTTCTTGAATTAGGCATGTTTTCAAAGATTACATATGAATTAAATTAATACCTACATTATCTTGCTATGTATGATAGTGTGATCACACAAAGCTGTATATAGGTGCCTTTCCATATCACTAACACTGTGTGAATGTTTTTTAGCACTGATTATTTTATCCTATTAACAATTATTTTTCTAAATTGCCTATTGAAAACAATACTAGGAATAAAGTTATTGGTGAAATAAAAACAAAGATACATTATAATTAAATTTGAAAATTCAATTATTATGTCTTTAATTCTGAAAAATATAGTATATTAAATCTTACATCAAACAAGACTTTTAAATGTATAATGTGGTGCTGACATTTTGGATTAGACGTTTCTTTTCTTTAATCTACTACTTAAAGTAATTAGATGAATGACATGGGTTTCGTTTAGTTTCTTCTTTTTCTTTTCTGGTGTTTAGAACTACAGAAGTATCAGGGAAGAGCAGTGATATTGACATCCTTTTGAATATACTGTTAAAATAGAGTAGCAAATGTCAGTTAAAAAATGTTTTACAGTTGATAAAATGCATGGACAATGTCTAAACTAAAATGGTTCTAATTAGCATGTATCAAGAATGCTTAAATTATTTTAATTTTTACAGGGAGGCAACTGGTAACTAATGTATTCATCTTGTAGTACAAGAGATCCTCATTTATGTTGCTTATTCTTATTTTGGTTATAATGCAAACCCTTCATGTGTATCCCTAGGGAACTGAGTTTATCATTTGGTTAAATAGATGGCGTGGACATAGAACTATAGAATTATGAGAAAATTATAGCACCAAAAATAGACAACTACAAGTCCTCCATCATGTACAGGTGAATAAACATTTTTACTTTGAGAGCAAGGAGAAAAGAAATCAGTGAAAATTCTTAGTGCTGGTATGAAATTTTAAGAATAGTAAATTATATAAATTATGAATAAGGACGTTTCCTTTCTTTGCCATTTCCTTTCATACACCTCTGCTTTTCAGAAACAATGGTCGTACTTCTAAGTGTCAAATAATTTATTTATAAAAGTAGCTTAAGTGTTCATTTCCTCTGCTTAAGCATATTTATGAAGCAGCACAATTTTTGTGCTTAAAATGTTTAGGTATAATTTTTAGAAACATCTAAAGAAAAGTAAATGAGGTAAGAAACAAAAGTATATAAACAATACTTTTTGCTACTGAAGACTTGTGTAAAATTTAAAGAAAAACCCTACTTAGAGGTATAGTCAGCTATATAACTCTGCCCAGTGATAAATGAAGGTGACAGGAAGAATTACTACAATAGCTAGAGCTAAGTTATTGAAATGGATAGTCTATCAAATATATATAGCACTTGAATAAGTCAGGTTTTCTGTACACTTTTTGAGCATCTAGGAATACATGTTAAGACATATTCCTAAAATTTAACATCTCAAAACAAAACCCCCTTTTGTGGTAATATTTTGGATTTATATTGGTTATGGTACTTATGTGGTAAGACTGACAGTCAATGAAAGTTGAACTTTTAAAATGTTAAATCATGAATTAGGTAAATATCATTTTTAAAAATTAAGTATGATCACATGTAACTCTAGATGGACTACTCAATTTTTAATTAATTAATTAATATACAATGAGATTCCTTAAAGATTATTGAAGACAAGGCTTAGACCTTGAATTTAGGCCTAATGAAGTAATTTGAGATGTAAATAATACTTTACCTGTTCATGTCATCAAGATGTTCCGCAGCAAAATAAAAGCTTTTGATTTTCGGATGGCAGGCTTTGAATGCACTGTGAGTAAAACCACAACAAATAAGTTACAATTACTTTTATACAAATTGGAAAAAGGTTTTAAGTCAAATATCTTTAAAATTTTTTATTAGAGTTGGGAGAGGCAAAAGAACATGATCAAAATATATTGTATGAAAAATTTTTTAAAAAAAATTCTAATTTGGAACCTGGGTATGGTGACACACACTTTTAATCCTAGCAGTTGGGGGCAGAAGCAAGTGGATTTTTCTGAGTTCAAGGCTAGCCTGGCCTACAAAGTGAGTTATAGGACAGGCAGAACTAAATAGTGAGACCTTGTCTTGAATTAAATCCAAAAGGATTCTATTTTGCCTATTTATTATTAACATCATCATCACTGGTGTTTTTATGTGTGTGCACATGCTAGAGAAAAATTTTTGAGAACTGGTTCTCTCTAACCATGGATTCTAGGATTGACAGGTTATCAGGCTTGCATGTAAAGCACTTTATCATGAGACATCTTGTTGGCTCAAACTAAATAATTTTTATGGATAAAATTAATGCAGTGTCTAACCTAACTTCACATACATAATGCTTCTATCATGACAGAAATAAGTAAAATTCCATGCTACATCCTCAAAATTTCTTTCTTATAATCTCAGTTTGAAAGCATCAGATAAACTGTAACTTAAAATTTAGAAAATTACAAAGTAAATTATCCCTCCTTCCCCCTTTCTCCAAGTAAAATGAACTTACTATTTCTTGCGGCATTCACTGGCTCTATCAATTTTAAATTCAGGCAGACTGATGAATCCTTCTGCTTTTTCATCCTAAAGAAGCAAGATTTTTGTTTAGTGTATCATACCAAGGTCTGAAGCTAATAATACCATGTAAGTATAACTTAAGACATTTAGAGTAATAAATGTGCTAGTCATTTAGTTCATAAGTCTACTTATATTCCATACATTCTACATATCCATAAATTTAAGGATTATTTTGAAACAGAATTTTTACAAATTAAAATATATACACTATTTTTATATTAAAATGAGACTAGAAAATAATTTTCAAAGTAAAATATGCTTTTTAAAAATGTTTGGGGCTGCCGGGCGGTGGTGGCGCACGCCTTTAATCCCAGCACTCGGGAGGCAGAGCCAGGCGGATCTCTGTGAGTTCGAGGCCAGCCTGGGCT